GCCAGCATGGCTGGCTGGGGAATTCTGGGAGTTGAAGTCCACAAGTTTTCAAGTGGCCAAGGTTGAGAAACACTGATGTAGACATTTCAGTTTAATGCCAATTCATGTGCAGAAAAAGAGGAGCAAACTTGATTTGTGGTCGCATTCAGTTGGGAAGCCTCTGGTCTGTCTTTGCTCTCGCTCTGTTTGGTCCTTCACCTTCCTTTGCGGCATCATGAAAAGGAAAATGAGGCTGACCCGCATGGTGTTCTGGTTTGTAGGGGACAAACAGGGCGCATAGTCAGGTTGAACAAAAGCTTTTCCCAGTTCTTATTCCAGTAGAACCAGTTGTGGGAAGGCTGATGGGGAAACTCCTATTTTTGTCGGGGGACCTCATGTCCCTAACTATCTAACTAACTAATTAACTAACGAACTAACTAGCTCAACCTTTTTTCACACTTCTGGCTGGCAACTTTAATGGCCTCTAATCATGGGCTGCTGTTCGAGAACCACCATCGTATTTTGCAGGGTCGACCTCACCGTGTAAAATCTTGAGATCTCCCCCAAAGGTCTCATTTTTCTCTTGAGTGCAGCAACAGGGGGACGGGGAGATCGTCAGTAGCCATGGATCAGTGGCGTCAGCAAGCAGGGGTGTGTTTTTGACACCCAAGGCTCACACTTAGCTGGACCCTGGCACAGTCAACTGGGTAAAGCTAGGATTTCTCGGGTGTTTCAGAGTGGAGAGGGGCTGGATTTTTATTTTGCTAAATCTGTGAGTCCTTGGAAAATTCTCTTTCTCAGCTATTTGTTAGTGCATTTGACAATTGTTGCTGGAAAAAGACACAGTTGTGCTTCCTGGGAGTTGAGACTGACTCAAAAGAGCTTTACCTTTTTGCTGGTAGTGATGATGGTCAAATTTCAGGGGGTCTGGAGAATACAGGCTGACCACCCTAATTTGAGGGTCAGAACAGATTTGGCCCAAGGCGGTCAGCTGCTGACCCTCATAATCCCTTTAATTGTACGGATGTGTGTGGGTATATTCATGAAACCGAATTTTTATTTTATTTATTTATCTGTATATCGAATTTGTCACTGCCCATCTCGTTGAACAACTCTGGCTGAATTTACTTAACCTGGCAACAAAATTAACCAATTTTTCTGGGTTAGTGCCTTACATGGACCCATCAGCTTTCCTGTTTTTGCCTCAACCCCCCCCCCCCCAAATTCTGTGAGGTTGAAACTAACCCAGCTGAGCATGTTGTGTTAAGTGTAGCACTGCCCTGTTGTGTGAACACAGCCTGTGGGGGTACTTTTCTCTAGCGCTCAACTTAAGTGGCGCATGCCCACCAGATTGTATCCGAAATAGTTGCATTGAAAATAAAAGCAAAATGTTGGCCATAGTTTGCCCTTAGTTGGGCAGAAGTCAAAACGCAGGTGGATTCGAAGGAGCAAAGAAGTTGCCCCAGAATATGTGCTGCTGGAGAAGATGTGGGATCAGCATTTCTCAGACTTGGTCATTTGAAGATGTGTTGAACTACAACTCCCAGAATTCCCCAGCCAGCATGGCTGGCTGGGGAATTCTGGGAGTTGTAGTTCACACATCTTCAAGTGGCCAAAGTTGAGAAACATTGCATGAGATGCTGGTGAGCAAGACGCCCTCTGCTGTTCATTCCCATTTATGGGATTTTGAGGCAGGGAAAACCACCATAACTCTTCCCAGAGAAGGCTAAAACTCCAAGATCTGTTGCCATCTTGGGAACATCCCACAATTTAAGGGTTTGTTTCTGAGCCGAAGTGCTTCCCCCGTCCTTGTCGGGTGTCCGTCCTATCTGTGCGTCTAAAGAAGTCGACAATCAAATACGGATTGTTTTAGCTGACCGATTCCATCAGATTTAGACCTCATCTTTCCTCCAGAAGCTCAGTTTAAAAGCTATTTCATGCTTTTAAATGTGCCTAGAGGTTTGAAAAAGAAGAATTTCTTAAGGAAGGAGGGGGCTTTTATTTGCACAAAGCTATTGCAGAGCTTCCTGTACTGACGGGGGGTGCCTGGTTACATTTGAGGTAGAGGACTTTTTTTCCCAAGCACTTGATCACAACCCAGTTTCCAAGGAAAAAACAGAATTTAAGAAATTCTCTAGGTTTGGCCTCTGCGTGCAATGGATCTGCCCTTTGCGTGGCTCACTGAGGGCCTCCCGGAACTACAATTTCCATATTCCTGAAGGGCATCAGGCTGGTTAAGTATAGCCCAATGATCCTACCTAGCTATTTTAGCTTTTCTGCAAAATCTTTGAGATCTGGGTAAAATCTGGGATTTACCTTCGCCCTCAGCTGAGCAATTTCCTCCCTTTTCTCTGCTAACAGCAGTCCAAACCTTCAACAACAAATATTGACACTGGGAGCTGGAGGGGAAACTAGATTTATCTGCGGTTTACCAAATTCAGAGAGGTATTCAGAGACAAGGTCAGCAATTTTTCAGGCTGAATGCTGGTTTTCAAAATCCCCCTGGGTCTCTTGAATTCCCCACTGGAGGCCCAGTGTAGAGGGAGAATTTGGCCAAATAAAGGAAGGAACTTTTGAACCCATGAGTTTATAAGACCTCAGCTCGACTGCAGAGCCCCTCCTGGTGTTTTGGAGTGTAGAATTCTGCAGGACGTGGCCGGTGATCATGGATTATGGGTAGTGTGGTCTGATTGGGTCTGATGAAAAGTTGCAAGAGAGTTTTCATCAAAGGCCGACTGGAAGGCAGCAAAGCTGTGTCTTTCTTTTCCTATGCTTTTCGATATTGGCTTTCCATCTAGGTTTTTGTTAGTCCCCCGGAATTATTTGATTCAGATGGGTGGCCGTGTGAATTCACTGAATAAGTACGTGTCCACCAGTACAGCATCCAAAAACAAACCGTGGGACTGTAGGTGCTTTAAGCTAACTAATTTCTTGCTGCACACCCACCAGCACTGGAAATTAAGCATGACGGCATTTCCTGAAGCAGGCGTTAGGGGCCCTCCTGATATTTTGGGCTACATTTCCAGAGCATTCCCAGGCCCCTATCCATGATCCTGCAACTGCACCAGTTGACTGCGTAGGAAGCCGCTGCCCGTGTTAAGCGGGCAGACCAAGGCTGGAACCTTTTAAAAGCTGGCGTGGTTAAAGGAGCTGGGAAGCAGGAGCCTTGCTCTCCCGCAGGTCACTCTGTTCTCCTGGTTGCCTGCTCTGCCTTCTCTAGCCCTGCGTGGGCCAGCTGCAGCCAAGTCTGCGGCTCAGGATTCTTCCAAGGTTTCCTTACGTCCACCGGAGCCTGCTGGCTTACGTAGCTTGGCAGAGAACTGGAGTGCGCTGGCCCCACCTGGAATCGGTGTGTGAGTGGCGAGGTTTCACCTGACCCAGGTGCCGGGGGCGGGACTTGGGAACTCAAGGAAGGGGGGCGGAGGAGAAACAGGGGGTGGCCCTGATGCTCTGCCAGCCTGTTTTTCCGGGGAAAGGCTCAGCTGCTTAGCTGGAGCAGGTCGAACAAAGTCTCCCCAGGACTTGGAAGGGTTCTCCTGCAACCCTCTGAGCCCCACTTGGACTCCTCGGAGCCATCCTGTTTCCGGGAGGATGGTGACCAGCCCAGGTGACCGCTGAGCAACATGGCTGTGAGGTTTCAGGCAAGTGTAAATGCAAAAAGACTAGCTTCTGTGAGTGTGTGTGTGTGTGTGTGTCTCGAGCGACTGCTTTCCACGGTGCAAAAAATGCACCGAGAAAGCTTTGGGAGTTGCAAATTAAGTCTTGATTGTTTGACCCAGCCAGCCAGCCAGCCAGCCAGCTGTGCTGCTCTGGGCCCAACACTTTCATGTCAAGGGCGTGGGCAACCAGGGGTTTTCTGGGAATGAAAGTGATCAGGCAGTTCAGGAGCCCTTTTCGTGTTTCTAGGATTGCAACTTTAGTGTAATAAGGTGAAAAATGTTTCTGCATTCTCCCCGTAAACACCTGGGCTGGTGCTGAGAAACAATGAAGGGATGAGTGTATTCGGGGCACAGGAAGAACGCGTGTCACTGAATCACCGAATCATTCACGGTCAGCGTCTTGGCATGTGTGTGGGTGCGTTGTTTTGTGCTTTGGGGTGGAATGTGGTTTCTACCACATGGTTGGAGCACAAGTAACACTTTCCAAAAAAACAGGCTGCTAGTGAGGATTCGGCTCGCCGCTTCGAATTCTGTGCTCATACCCCTGCTGAACTCGGCGTCTTTTTGGAACGGAAACATGCTTCTTCCTCATCCTCTAGATCTGAGTTTCCCAGATAGTAAACAGGCAAGAGCAGGTAGTCATTCAACAGATGCACCAGTTCCCTGGAATGGCTTTCACAGGGGGAGGGAGTGGGGGGAGGAGACAGCGTTGCACAAGGGTTCTTCCTGCTTATGAAATTATAGTTCAAAAATGTTAAGCAGCCCTGCCAAGAACAAGCCCTGCTGGGTTGTGGGCTTTGGGAAGGTGATGGGGGCAGTCATGGGCGAATCCGGCTGGAAACAAAGGCCCTCCAGAGCGTTGTAGTGTCAGCAGCCCAGGAATGTGGGTTTGCCACTGGCAGCGACAGCGCTCATTATATCTCAGGGAATTGTTTACCTTTCCAGAAAGTTGGGTTGTGTGCAAGGCCCAAAGTCTGCCGTGCTCCACGTGGGCCAGGAAGGCTCCTTTGATGAGCAAGGAAGCTCAAAAGGCTGAATTGTGGGTCCCTGGCACACAAAGTTGCAGGTTCCAATCCCCCAAATGAAAAAGGGACAAGAACCAGGGGATGGAGAAGAAACTTCAATCTGCTGGACATTTTGGAGCAGTGTTTCTCAACCTCGGCCACTTTAAGAACAATGGGCATTCAATCCCCC